CATTAAATCGGCCTTGTGATCCAATATATATCTTCATTGTTAATGTCAAGCTGCACATAGTTTCGATAATAAAAATTCATGAAAGTCAAAATTCAAGAGAAAGATAAGCATGCCTACCTTGTTGGAATCCTCGTACTCCTGTTCTTATAGTTAACATTCTTTATAATTTAAAATTTGAAAAAAAATCTTAAATTATTAATAAAGTTGGAGTGCAAATATTTTAAATTTTTTATGATATTTAAATTATAAAAAATGTTAATTAAAAATAAAATTTCTTGACAGTATTGATGGTGTTGATCACGAAAAAAATTAGTATACAAAGTACAAATAATGGAATTAGCCTTTCCTCAATATTTTTCATCTAAATCCTTATATCGAATATTCTAATATGAAATTTAAGGAGGAGATAACTATATCCTCTTGTATGAGCTATTATTTGAAAAAAAAAAAAAAACCAACTAGCGTGGGAATTTACCTCAACCAACATACAACAAACTAATGATCATTACAAATAGTGGCTTTTCATTGCCTAAAATGTAAAAACAAATATGGCATTTAACTGCAATAGACAATGTAAAATTGAACAATTACAGAACTAGTTACACCAATCCTCTAGTACCAAGAATGATGGGAGGATTTTTCATCCATAATATCTGTGTAATGAATACAAAATATATTTGAAAAGTTAGACTTATACCACAAAGCTGGAAGGATATTAACAATCTGCCTTCATCTGCAGGTAGATATCAAGCTCATTTTGGGAGGAAATGTGTATCGAATTTATTCAGCAGCAGCTACGCATCAAACTTATTCTCGAAGTACATATGTATCAAATTTACAATTGTTACAAACGCTATGCCTTTCAAAAATACCAATGCAAATGATGCATTTAGGGATGGTTGCATTGGTTTCTTGGCTTCTATACATAAAAGCTATAGGCTAGTATATACATCCTGTCTGCATACAGGGCATGATCCATGCCTTACGAGCCACTTGTCCACACATGACAAGTGAAAAGTGTGGTGGCACTTGGGCAAGCTCCTTGCACTTTCCCCTATTTCAATATCCTGCCAATGAAAAAATTTGTTATATACTTTAGTGCAGGTCAGTTTTGTTACTACTACAACTATCATTTTTATAATTGTCAAAGCAACACCTGCATTAGAATATTAGGAAAAAAGCAATGTATATAGGAGGACAACCACCTGCAAACATATTGTACAAACACCATCCTGGGTTGTGTTGGTTTTATCCACAATCACGTGAAAAGGTAATTTCTTCAGTGAATCTCCTGACAGCCCTCTGGATGCAACTTCATCATGGGTATCATGAAAGCCATCATAGCTTGTATGAGGAACATTCATCTGTTCAATAAGCAATTTGAAATGGTGAAAACTTTGGAAATCATTTATCTCATACCGTGAGAAGTTTGCTACTTGCTCTATATCTTAGAGAGAGAATCCACAAAAGCTATTGAATAGGAAAACAAAAGCTAACCAAAAATGAAAAGGCAGAACTAAGTGAACGAGACAGAATCAATTTTCTATTTTTCAACAATTAATATTTCACAGCAATTAATATTTATTTATGAGTAGGAAGTCATCTTCTATCAATAGGGTGAGAACACTCCTTGTTCAGCCCTATACTATAATATCCACCCAGTTGGCCAAAAAAACTAAACTAATTTACTTTTCCAATTCTTTTCATTGACTCTTAGTAGTTCCAGAATGATCATGTCAAGCATCCAAAATTCCAAAAGAACACAGAATCTAGAGTTCTTGAGAAATGCATGGAGACTGGAGAATAAGAGAAGAATACCTGCCAGTGGTAGGCTGCTAACGCTGTTGGTGTAAACTCATCTTCCATTAATCTTGCACGGAGAAGCTGCTCCATGAAGTCTGCCTGGACCCAAAATGTAGAAAATTAGTCAAGGCTGTGGCCAAGGAAAATGAAAAAAGTGCCTCACATCATAGATAGATACATAGATAGAAAGAAATCCAAGAAGATTCATGCCACAGATTCTCATTGATAATAAATAATACTAAGAATAAATTTCTTCTGGAATGGATAATCCCTATATAAATCATTAAAAACCAACTTTTTAACTTCTGAAGGAAAACAAAAAATACCATAGTAACTGAGTTTAAGCAGGGTACACTCTCTTTTACATTCAGCCATACAGCCTTAACAGACAGAAAGCAAAGCAAGAAGCCAAAAAGGCAATTAGAAAGTTAGAAGACCAAATTGTCAATATGTATTGTAGTTTATTTCCTCAAAACTGTGGATCAAGTCCTGTTTTGGTTATTTGGAAATGCCATGAACAAGCCAAACTGTGAATGCAAACAATTGTCTAAGACTAAACACCAACTGGCTAATAAACTAACCATAGATGATGTGCCTCTTGAACCAGATTGTTCCAAGCGCCAGTAAGCACGAGAAGCCTCTAACACCTCCACAGAAACTACAGCTCCAGCAAGTGCACCTAATCCTGCACCACGAAGCACTCCACAATTGGAAGCCCTACCTGCTAAAGCACCCATAACAGCTCCCGTAAAAGCACCACCTGGAAATAGGGTAACAAAAATGTCAGGCAATCAGCTAAATAAAACTACAGAAACTACAAACTACTACACTAAAAGCCAAAATTCTTGAAGCATTCCAGACATCACCTAGTTTTTGGACTTGATAATTGATAAGCATCAATATCCAAACATACCAAATTATCCAGTCTTACACAAAATAAGGCTTCCTATGATAACCAAACAATTGTAATTTTAAGAACATCCAAAAGCTGTTGCATTACACGCAGATGCTCATAAGTAGGATACCTGGCTTTTTTTTTTTTTCCCTAAAAAAATGACCGATTAACTTCTGAACAACAATGATCCTAGGCATCTTAGAGACCTACAAATCCAGTCTAGATGATATTTTCCTAAAAATCCATTCCAAGTTCTAAATTTGGAATTTGCCACTATGAGACATTCTATATTCATGTCAATATGTCATAGCATGGAATCATCTTTATGTAGGGAGAAATGGCAAACAAGAAATAGTATGAGGCTGATCATAAATGGTCTAGATCTAAATATCCATTCACCAATGAAAAATAAGTCAATTCAAAAAAATTTTAAGAAAAAAAAGTTCTTCAATGGGAGTAACGTGATTAGATTGATGGAAGCTTCTGAACAAACAAATGGAATCTCAATTTTCAGAATTTCCTCAAAATGATTTCCCCATTAAGATACAACCTCATAGTATATCAGAGAAAATTCATATGACTACAATCATGTAATCACAAACACCAAAACCGTTGATCAATTCATGCAAACTCGACTTCAATCCACAGAAACAAAAAAAAATAAAAAATAAAAATAAAAATCCACATGCAAAAATCAAAAATTGAATTGTGGGGTTTGTTACCAACAGCTAGGAGTCCGGCAAGAAAAATAGAAATGGCTCCAGCAATCAACCGGGGTATGGAATGAAAGGCATGCATGAGGGGCCAAAAGGGTTGAACCCGAGGACCCTCCAAAGTCGAACCGCAGAAGGCAAGTGTCGGTACTCCGAACCCAATTAATACGGGCTACAATTGCAGCTAGGAAACACACGAACAATACAGTAGAAGATTGAAGATCAATTTTTGTCCGGATATTTTGAAAAAATAAAAATTGAAAGAACATAAATTTCAGGGATAGAAAGAGGGAAGAACAAAATTTTTGAGAGAGCAGAAATTTAGAGAGGCTTTTTAATGAGAAAAACGCGAATCAGATTGAAAAGTGGAGTTCCCGTCTTTTTACGGTATACGGTTTTAGACCATGATTCACGTTGTTTAGAAAATTTTAAATAGTAGTTAGTATTAGAAAATTAAAAATAAGGTTACTTAAACATCTCTTAATATATGAACTTTTGATTTAATTTTTAAATTAAAAAATTTTTAATTTAATTTTTATTGTTAATTAATTTAACTTAAAATTTGTTTTTTTATATCAAAATAATTCACATATTTTATTATTAATGTGATATATAATTTTTAAATAATAATTTATTATTATTAAATAATAAATATATTAATTATTTTTTGATTAATAACCGATATAGTTGTTCTTAGATTAATAGCTTATATAGTTGTTCTTAGATTAATAACCTATATAGTTGTTCTTAGATTAATAGCTTATAGTTGTTCTTAGATTAATAGCTTATATAGTTGTTGAGGGACTAAATTGATAATTTAACTTAAAAATAAAAAATAAAAATGATATATTTAGTTCTTTTTTTTTACAAGGATAATGGTTAAAAAATTAATATAAGTTAATTGTTAACAACTAAAATCTCTCAGATTGAGTGGATATTTCACCATATCAAATGAAACGCGCGGCCATCCAATTACTTTTTGATGAAATTTATGACAATAATTGAGTTCAAAACTCTAACCACCGCCTCACCCGAACTTGGATGCGAACCATTTGTTCAGAGTCCCGGTTCGCATGATATATTTAGTTTGATAACAATAAAAGGGGAGGTAAGAGAAAAACCGTGGGATCGTGTATCGCGGGGTATTGTGTGATGGGACTACTCTTCGGCATAATATCTAATGCGTGGTGACTGATGTTTGCCAGATTATCAGTTTCTCAAAAAACTGGTTTGATAAATGTGATTACTTACTAATTTAGGCGTTCTTAATGGTAATATTTCTATTTTGGTTGTCTGTTTAGGGTCTCAATAAACTTTACTAATAATTAACTTTTTTTTAATTGTCTACCTTTTTTCTTTGTGGTAGGAAATTTTAGAGAGAATAACCTTAGTGTGAACTCAAATTTTAAGTGTTTTAGCACTTTATTTATTTGGGTGGCTAATAAATCATTACGTATTGAATTTTAATTATATATATTTATTATGAATACATCATATGGTATTAAGAATTGTAAATCTAGTTTTTATTTTTCCATGGCCTATTTTACATATATTATAGGTTTACTTGATATACTATATTTGTCTCTTAATAAATTTAAAATTATTTTATCGAAAAAATTCAAGCATTAAATAAAAAGTAATTTGCTGCATTTTTAAATTTTAAAAGTGAGAACTCTAGGATTTTCTCTGAGTAAGAGTTAGTTGAAGAAAGGGCAAGGAAAGGGAAGAAAAAGGATGGAAAGGAAAGGAGGGAGAAGGATTAATGCTTTTTTTTTTTGAATAAATAAAAATAAAGGAGACAGAGGAGGATTATATTTTTTTATTTAATTAAATAAGTTTGAGAAAATTATTATAAAAATTAATTTAAAAATTATAATTTTATTAATTAAAATAAAATTAAAAAGTTAACTACATTTTTGAAAATCCCCTCTCTCTTTTTTAAATCTTAGGTTGCACGTAGGGCTAGGAATTCAATTTGGATTGCGCAAGCTGAACTAAATCTTTGACTATGTGAAAATTTTTTGGATGAGACATCCATACCAAACTCAAACCAAATATTTAATTTGATCATAATTTTAGATACCTAAAATTATTCAGATAATTTAGTTAATTAATTAAAATAACTAACATTTTTATATATCAATATTAATATATCGTTATTTTTCACTATTAGTTATTGAAAGCTTTTTCTTTTTAATTTTAATTATTTTTAATATGTTTTTTAAAAAGATTTTTATCTATAAATTTGACAAAAAATAAAGAAGTCTATCAAAGAAATATATGTATTATTGAATATCAAATTTTTTTTAGATAATTTGATAGCTCATATCGGTAATTTCATATATGGGTCAATAACCATACTCAAATTGAAATTAATTTTAATCACTTCAATTTTATTTGAATTTATCAAAATATCCTATTTATCTAAACCAAAATTCAAAAAATTCAAATTAAAAATTTAGATATTTTAGTAATATTTGAAATGTGCCCACCTCTAGTTGCAAGATGAGAGGAAACCTTTTTTTATCCCTTAATCCTCCCTAGCTCATGTCATGGGATTTAAATTCAAATTCCCTTACTTTTATCACTAAATTACTTACATCACTAAAGAAAGTTCTTTTAAATTAGAAGGATTAAAAATAAAGGATGTTGAGAGACTCCATCACCTCTCCATTTCTCTCTTTCTTTGGATTGGAGACGTTGGAGGGGAAGGGAAGGAGGGGAAGATGTCTCCTTCTTGTATTTGGGTTACTGATTTTAACAAAGAAGGAGGGAAATGGAGGGAGATGAAACCCACTATACTCCTCTATTTTCAATCTCTCTAAGTTCCGTTTGGTATAGTGATTTTGAGGCAGCGGTTAGCGGTTTTGTCTAAACTGTTAGCATAAGTGTTAGGTAAATTTATATATTTCGAAATCACTACAAACAAGGTGTTTGGTAAAATTTTTATTTAGCTATTATGGACTAGCAAATATCAGTTAGGGTTCAAACTACTAGCGAATTGAAAATACTAGTTTAGACAGATTTTTGTAACAAATCGCTAGCGAATTGAAATTTTTTAATTTTATTGAAAAATTTATCCTTTTTAATTTTTTAATTTTTATCACAGTTTTTAATTAATATTTATCTAATAAATACCAATTTTGTTTTTTGTTTACCTTTAATAACATTAAGTGATTATAATATTTTTATTTTTTGTATTAATTTATCATTAAAAAACATTATCTTAAAAAACAAAATTTGCTAATTAAACAAAATAATTAATTTTTT